GGGGGGATGCAGCCAGGAGAGGCGCCCGGCTAGTCTGATGCCAGCTCCCAGCCTTGCCACTCTTAACGCTGCCCACTGGCTCCCCGTCCCCTCCCCTCCCCTCCCACCACTCCCCTTTGCAAAGAAAGGATTAAATTGTTTACTTGTGTGACGCCACAAGATCACATGTCCCGAGAGCCCCTCTCCCCTCTACAACCACCCTCCTCCCCCCCACCCGGTGCTGCTAAAACCTGGGACACTTGACAGCAGATCACCAGTCCGGGGGGGTCCAGAGACGCTGATGCATGACCCCTCCGGCAGCCTGTGGGGCAACGAAGGAGCCCAACATTTCCATTCAGCCTCAGATCGCTCTTTAGTGCAGAGCTGGTAACCACCAAGTCTTCCTTTCTCCCTCCACAGGCTGAGCCCGCGGAGCTGAGAGCAGCGCGCGGCTCCGGCGGCACACAGGGGCAGCCGAGAAAAAGTCCCGCGTTTTAATCTGCGGGATTAAAACCAATACAATCATCATCCAAAGAAAGCAATCGATTCAGGCTGAGCAAGGCTGCCGCGGAGATTACTGAGGCTGGAGAGGGCAGCGGCTTTGAGCAGGAACCGCTCCCAGCTGGAGGCAACCTCAGCTCAGCCTTGGGCGAAACTTGCTAGAAAGTGAAGGGGAAGCACTTGGCTAATAGGAGAAGCGACGTGCAGTCAAGGGGAAGGAAGCGGGGAGGAAGCCCTACAAAAACTATAACAAGCTGGATTTAAAATAAAAAATAGCTAAACTAAACAAATAGCTTTGTCTCAAAGAGACAGCCCGAATCGCTTTCCATTTTCTGCAGCTTCGGTAGAGGCAGGGGCAACTTTCAGAAGGAATCAGAGGCTTCCCAGGCAATGTGGATGGTGGAAGGGAGCTTAAGCCCTGCGGTGAAGTTCATTTCACAAATGACTGCACTGTCCCATTCAGCGTTCCTGCACTCGTGGGTCACAAACCAAAAGTGGGCCAGAAGAATATATGAAAGGGTTGTGAACAAACTTTAAAAATGGATCCTTTTTTAAAGTAGACAAATGTGGGAAACAATGGCTTTTTTTCCCTGCAGGCTGTCAGTTCCAGCCTGCAAAGGGGCTGCTTGGGGTCCCCCGACCCACACACTGGGGTGTTGGGGCCTGGGGGACCAGCAGGTCTGGAGCGAGGGGCACTGGGTTGGGACTGGCCATCAATGGTTACAAATGGGTCCTGGTACAAAAAAGGTTGAGAACCACTCTCTCTCTCTCTCTCTCTCTCTCACAAGGGCTCTTTCAGCCTACCTAAACTCCCAGGGTCAAGAGGGGGATGTTATTAACTTTTGACTCTGGTTCCAAATTTCTATTGTTCTTATAACCTATGTTCCCCTAGAAGCCTCAGTCCAAGTTACTGGCACCAGTAAATAAAACCCCTCTCCATTTTTTTTTCCTGATGAGGTTTTTCCTGAGCTCTACTTTCCTCTTCCCATCCATGTCTTTAGATCCCCAACTGCTTTTGGCTCACAGAGATAGATTATAAGGAAAGCCCTTTCTGAGGAATTCAAAAGTAAGCAACTTCAAAAAACAAAACACAACAAAAAACCCCTACCTAAATCCGCCAGTTCGAAATCAATGAAAGCTTTTCCAGTTTGGGTCAGGCCAACAATAGAGAGACTTGAACCAAATGCAAGTCTACTGGAAATTCATAAAAATTCATCCCAGCCTACTTAAAGCAAGATACAGAAGGAGCCCAGTTTTGCGCCCAGTTTTCTTCCTGCCCAGGCTGGGGGTTGGACCTGAAGATCTGCAAGGTCCCTTCCGACCCTACTTCTATGATTCTATGAAGGAGGCAGATCATTGATTTTAATATATCATTCTTTTCTCCCTCTCTAGATTTCATGGACATGAATCCTATGCTGACCACCTCTTCAATCTTTTAATTAATTTTAGTATCACAGAATTCATGGATTTTGCATTCACAACCAAACCAGAATGCACCTAACTTCCAGATGGTATCCTTGTGTTGAACATACAGTCTTATGACTTTGTCTTCCAAAACTGTTTGAGAAGGAGGAATTTATTGTCAACAACAAAATCCCTGCTTGTGGGAAAATCTTTCTGATTCTTAAATGTAAAGACAATCTCTGTGGATTAAAATGAAAGAGCATCTGTGAATCTACAGAAAAAAAATGAAGGAAGGGGGTGGGGGGACTTAACCAACCTCTAGCACCGCTACAGGCAAAACTTTCTCTGTTAAATAAAAATGAAGATTTTTTTTGCTCGAATAATAATCTCAGTTTTGAGGTCATGAATTACAAGTCAGGCAATGATACACCTAAAGGCTTTGGTGCTCCAGTCAGTTGTTGCTAAGGGGCCAAGTCTGCCTTTTAATATATTGGCTGGTGATTTGGAGGGCCTGTTTCAGCCATGTGAGGTGAGATGCCATAATGGGAGGTATATTCAGATGAAGGCTGCACATCTCAGGAAAATCAGGTTCCCTCCACTTGAGCATATCAGAATAGAGGAAACTCAACTCCTTAGTCACATGTGGCCACTTTTCTTAGAGGTGTAAGTGCTCTTCTCAGCTTCTCAGCCACAAAACGATGGTGTTTACTGCCTTTGGAAGGATTTTTCTCCTACAATTATTCCTTCTACGGTAGTGCTGGGTGAGCTCAGTCATAATTAGAACCCCATTTTGCTAAACACTGACATAATAATGCACAGTCCCTGGTCTTGAAGGCTTTATAATCTAATGTAGATTGCAACATGTACGTAAGCAGCCCTTGACAATTTTTTTTCTTTCCTGAGACATTAATCATTACTTCCCATTATCAAATGGCTTTAAAATGCTGGACACTATCAGCATTTCCTAAGTGGCTGCTGATGATTTCATTCCCATCTCTCTAATGCCCTGGTCTGACTGTTTTTGTTGTAATGTGCAAATTGCTTTTCATAACTCCCATTATTCCAGGCACAGGCACTCATCTCGCAGTTCACTGTGCCTACAATGTCATCCAGAGCACATTATAATCACAGAGAAACATGCCTGCAACCACTGGGTCTTATTGATTTATTAATGATGCACTAGCAACAAATGAGAACAGGAGATTAAGCAACTGGTTAGAGTTGTGGTTTTAGATCTGGAGGTCCAGCTGTATTGTATTTGATGCAGGACTGTGGCAAAGGACCAAGGGGAAGGGGAAAACTGCTGTTTACTCCCAATGCTGACACCAGTTTGATCCTCGGCCCAATTTAAAACAGCCTCTAGCCTTAAGTGGTCTTTGCCTTTTATTAGCCCTTGCAGAGGTGGAAATTTTGCTGTGCTAGGATTTCCAGCAAAATGTTTTGGAGTCTTAATACATTTTTCATCCTGGAGAAGCAATAGAAAAGAGCAGAAGTGCATCCCAGTGTTATTTTCCCCTCAAGTTCAGGGGATCTTGGTCTTTCTCTACCATTACGAATTCAAGCCAGACTCCCACACTGAGTCAAGGCCTCAATACCTGCTCCGAATCAAAACAAAAAATAGAATGCTACAGCACATGATTGCAGGCTGTAAACAGTCTCATTTCTTCTAAGAGAAATCCTTTCGTCAGAGATCCTACAGAAGTATAGGTCCATCATCTCATTTAAAGTACCTGTGAAGTATGTGAGATAAAATGTGCTAACATTTTCCTCTTTCCCCCAGTACTGTATATCAGGGGTGTTAAAAATACAGCAGGATCCAGACTAAAAAGCCCCACTGTCCTCCCCTCCCTTGCTGCTCCTGGGTCTGAGTTGATCCACACACAACCAAACTGGCCCTTCATGCAGGGCACTGCATGCAGCATGAGTCCTGGACTGGCTGGAGCAGGTTCCACATGCAGTGCAGTCCCAGTCTGGGGGAGACCAGAGTTGCTGCATGCAGATTCTGGAGCAGGCACTATGGGTGTTGGATCCAGGATGGGGAGAACTCAGGGGCATCCATGGGCCCAATCCAACCTGCGTACTGGCTTTGCAACACTAATCCGACCTGCACAGCTGGATGAGTTTGATACCCCTGTTATAAATTAATTGTGGGCCATTCACATAAATTGCCAGTCATTTCAGAGAAGCCTGTGAGCTCTCACTCATCATCTAATAGCAGAGGAGCAGCAATGCAGCTTGGAAGGGCAATTTTTATAAATGGCTGTGTTACTTCTGTTTTCATCTGGGTCAAAACCCAGGAAAATCAGGAGTGTATTAAAGGGAGATACCTTTTCCAGCCAGAGAGATTGACTATGATAGAACTTCAGTCTCCTCAGCACTCAGGGTACCTCTGGGCAAGCAGCACAGTGGCACCAAAAATGATCCCTCAATTCCAGGTTGGGAGAGAACAGCTGGCACAAGAGACTTGAAGTCAGAACCAACTAGTTCAGGAGGGGCAACAAAAGTGTAACTTCTCTGTCTGAGAAACTAAGTGAAAATGGCTTCTGATGAGCTGAGCCACTTGGATGAACCAACCAGGGACCTAAGAGATACTCCAGTTGACTGACCATGTGATTCACAGCTGTCTAGAGAGAGGGCAAACAGTTTTGCAGAAATCTTCTGTGGATGATGTGCGAATACAAACAGCAAATACAAACCAAAGTTGCTTTTGGGATATGATGCAGAGTAAATCCAAATGCTCATGTGGTTCAAGCTGAACTGCCCTCATAAATCAAGCAGTAAAGCTTATTCACCAGAGTACTATGAGTCTTCATTTGGAATTAAATCTAGGGAGTGTTTATTCTTCCCTGCAACACACACTCTGGCATACATCAGTCCAGATGCAGTTAAAGAGTCAGAAGGGTCTAATAGGGAAATCTTCCCATGCAGAAAATG